ACTTCATCGTGGTTGACTCGGCTGACTTTAGCATTGGCTACAGCTAGGGAAGCGACGGCGGCGATGAGGAAGGCGCGGAGGTTCATCTTAGTGGAAGACGACTTCGACTATGAAAAAAACAAGTGATCGAGACTTCGAAGGCGGCAGATTCAATAGTGAGAAGTATGCTGTCGATACAATACATGTATTTTCCGGACACGATACGCTGTGCAAGTATCAAGCGCAGCTTAACAAGCTGTATGAGAATCTGTGTTTCACTCACCGTCTCAGGCTGATTTTGCAGACTGGGTCTGCAAAACATACTTTCCGTCCGTCTGCTCCTTGTGTAATGGAAACCGTGCACATGTATCTGATCGGCCTGGTCAGACTTGCCTTCGCAAAGATTCACAAGTCAGTGATTTGAAATCACAGCTCCCTCTCATTTGCTGCACCCAATACCGCCCTTGGACCTTTGATAAACTTCAGGATGTGATGATCCTGCATCCAAATCAACAATTGTTTGTCAGCTAAAATATGATCTATTTGCAAATCCGATATGGTCCATCCCCGCGAAAACGGGGTGCAGTACTGTAATACCCTTTTCAAGACGATGATAAGAAATCATCCATTTGTGGCGCAATCAATGCATGTACCGAATTACCTTAGTTATGCATTACACCCAATCTGCAGTGCAGAGACCAGAAATTGCGTGTCCCGGCTATCGGTATCTTCGAACAAACAGTCTATTTAAATTTGAGCAAGTTCACGAAAAAGATCATCAAAGGGATCGACGCCATGAATAAATGATGATACGGCGGCAATTAAATTTGCTAGCTGGTAAATCAGGGTAGAACGTGTGAATTGCGGACGCAATACTACCGTTCTTGTCTAGATACTCTAGTACCCTCAGCTTGTGAGAAGCAGTGTACGCCGTAATGGTGTTCGTTGGTGCTTGGCGGCCCTTGCCACCAGGTAGGCGAGGCCTCCCCTTTGGGCGTTTACGTTGCGTTGGACTCATCTGCGGCTTTGAGAAGTGAGACCAGTACTAGATAATGTACGCAAATTACTGGTTGTCAAGCCGTGTAATTGATAACTAAGGATGCACGGCTTCCTTTCCCACTCAGCGTTTGGCGGCTTCTGATTGGCCACATTGAAGTGTAATTGATAACAAAGAGTAATTCATAACTAAGGTTATTCGGTAGGTTACCATGAGATACCAAATTATCATGATAACCTAGGGAGTATTTGCTGTTTATTGTTCGGGTCAAACGTATACAGTCGAAACCGTATACGCAGATACCATGGAGTAGGCATTCCATCTACTGGACCGGAAGAGTCCAGGCGAGTAAGTGCTCATTCATTAGATAGATGTTACGAGCAGCGTTCACATCTCGATCAAGATAATGGTTACATGAAGGACAGCTAAACGGCTTTTGCTTTTTGATGTTGTAGCTGATTCTCCCACAACGTGAGTCGCAACCACACATTCATCAAATGCTTCTACATCGACATCAGGGATTTCCAAAATCCAACTCGCTGGAACTGCAACCGGGCTAAGCCGAGAGACATCCATTGAAGCGATAGTAAAGTAGGAGGTACTATATATCATATTTCATTATTTGTGATTTTATACATGATATCATCCCCGCTAAGGAGCACTCTCTTCTTCTTCGGCTACTTCCTTCTTCATCACGTCGCGCGGAATACCGTCGGCTTCTTTTTCGATTTCGTCAAGACTCACTCGCATGCACGACATCCAAGCTGGAAGGCTGGATTCTTCATTGAAGTGGGTGCGAAAGATTCTGGTAAACGGATCGTGCGATATCGCTTGTTCGCCCGACACTCGATTGATGCGGTCGAGTGTGAACGTACTTCCAGATTCTAAATTATAACAAATTCGTTTATCAGTAAAAGCGTGTCTCAGCAAGAAAACATGTTACATACCGGATTATCTTCCAGTCGATGCTTCATGATATCGCTGGCTTCAGATACAATCGATTTCTTGACGTGCATCTCGTCGTCTTCGTTGACCAAAATCGGTATTGTTCCAGGCATCAGTGTAGCTCGGTTTCTTGTAGCTCGTTCATTGAGATGTTCCATGTTGTCAGCAGTCAGCAAAAGAACACTATCGGTTCCATCGTCTTTGCCACTTAGCAATGGAAGCGTATACGCTTCCATTACTTGCACAGGCTCGCTGGTCTGGATTAACTTACGTTCGCGTGCTGCTGATTTGATTGCTCCAAACGTTCCCATACATTGGAGCGCAGCGCTCCCAAACTTGTCATTTGCTGTGATAGACATTCTCAGGTTTCCATTTGCAATTGCAAGTTGCGCAGATATCTCCTCTCTTCTGGCATTTGCCTCCTCTCTTCTGGCGTCTGCGACTGCGAGTTGAGTCTTGACGCTGTGGAGTTCCTCCACTTTTTCCTGTAGTTCTTGCTTTCAGCTCGCTTCCTTGCTGTCCAGCCTCATCTGTCGGCTCTCCAATTCTTGTTTGAAGCTTGCTTCTTTGGCCTCCAACTTGGTCTCCAACTCTTGCTTGAAGCTTGCTTCTTTGGTTTCCAACTTGGTCTCCAACTCTTGCTTGAAGCTTGCTTCTTTGGTCTCCAACTTGGTCTCCAACTCTTGTCTCAAACGGATCTCCTTGGTCTCCAACACTTGGCGCCATTTTTTCTCATAGGATAGCTGAGATGTCAATACAGCGACTTGTGTTGCCAGCTCTGGAGTTGTGTTTGCTCGGGCAACGTTTAGTTCTTGCTTTAGACGGGCTTGCTCGTTGACAGCTCCGTTGAGCTTCTCACGCAACGTCGCTATCGTCTCTCGCAAGCTTAAAATAGTCTCGGCTTGCTTATGGGGATCTCGTTCATCTAGTGAGTTCCGGCGCTGTTGACAGCGCTTCTCTTCCAAATATGGCGTGGTGCGCCCGCTGTTATCGTCGTCTTTTTGCTGTAGCCTCGTTAGGTGACTCATTCTTTACCTTTTTGAATTTTCAAATGAAAAGGAAAAAACTCCGCTTTTGAGTTGGATGCGTACTTATTGTGCTTTGCATGTATTTTGGCAAAAATGATTGCCAAAAGTCTGTTTACCATTGCGGTTAGGGATGAAAAACTCGTAGTAAGCGTGTTACCCACACATACAATCTCTAAATTAGAGCTGACCAACTCAGTCTATGCTGCTGTTTTTGCTTCGGTAACCCCGAATTGCACAGTTCAAACTGCATTTCCGACTTTTCTTAATTAGCACAGAGGTTCCAAAACTTCACCACTCGTGACTTACTCTGCGGACTTTCGTTGGTGAGCTGTTTCACTTCTACACGTCTACGGAATCGACGTAGGGTTCACTACCGACTTCTTTGGACCAAAGCCACGCACAATGTATCAATGGTACAGTCTTCTCCTGCAGCAAGGCGTATTGTACAAAGCAAAAGAGCCCATCGCACCCCTCGTTGGCCCCAGGACGTCGTAGCTACCGTCGGACATTACTTTAAACGCCATCCTACCTTCGATCTGGACGAACGCAGCAATATTTACAAGACGAGCATCCAACAGTGACAAATGTGTCACTTTCGACTATCTGCCGGGCGCTACATTTTGATTTGGGTCTCACTAGAAAAGTCCTGACCCCATCAAAGTGTTCCTCTAGAGATGAGCTTGTTCAGCTTTTTTAAGATATACTGGTTTTGACATTAGTATTTTGTTTTATTTTATTGTTAGGTGCCTAACTACAAAGCTAAACTCCATGCACACCCGGAGCAGCTCATTTTCATTGACGAACCCTCAAAAGATGGTCGCCACGCGTACCGGAGTTACGGGTGGTCGGAGAGAAACACTAAGTGCGTTGTCAAGCTGCTCTTTTCACGTGGTCAGCGTCATTCAATCTTTGCGGCCCTTGACCATCAAAGATCCGCATACGGCGGGGGCATTTATTGGATTTTTCGTTTCATCGCTATTTTGTTAAGAACGTTGTTCCTCTCTTAAAATCTAGCTAAATACCGCCGTCAAACGCGTCCAAAACGTTAACAAACAGATAGTAGCGATGGCCAAATACCTAAAGACGGTATCACTCACGTAGTTGTTGTTTTACACGCTAGCCCAGCTTTAAATGCGAAAAGATCACACTGAAAACCTTTTATGAGAGCGACAGCACAAACCTTGCCTGCTGCTCGTCCAGGGG